TCTAGTGCTCCCTTTTTGGCAACTAGGTGCCTCCAACAATTAGGCTTAGAGTGTACCGATGACAAGGTTGCTCAAGTGATCATTCACGATTTTTACGTTGATGAGTTGCTAACGGGAGGGGATGATATTAACGAGGTTACAGATTTGCGCCGTAAAGTGACTTCCACACTTGCATCAGCTCATATGGTTTTGCGAAAGTGGAAGTCGAATGAATCTCAACTGGTGAGTGAAAATGATATTTCTCCGCTTGATTTGAATATTGGTGGCTTTGAACCGACTAAAACTTTAGGCCTTGGTTGGCAATCACATACTGACCAACTTTGTTTCCCTATAGGAGGGCTATTCTCAGGTAGAACAAAGCGTGATATGTTATCTGTGATTCCTCAGATTTTTGATCCACTAGGACTTCTATCTCCCTGTGTAATTAAGATGAAAATGCTTCTTCAACAGTTGTGGCTGCTCAAGCTGTCATGGGATGAGCAGTTGACGCCAGAAATCAGCAAGATGTGGGCTGAGATAATAGTCGATTTACCTAAATTAAATACTCTACGTATTCCACGTCGTGTTATTTGTGACTCGCCTAGTTTGTTTGAATTTCATATTTTCTCGGACGCTTCTGAGCGAGCATATGGCACCTGTTTATATGTGCGTAGTGTTAATGATCAGGGTGAGGTTTTAATTCAATTATTGATGGCGAAAAGTCGTGTCGCGCCGCTTAAACCTATAACAATCCCAAGACTGGAACTTTGTGGTGCACTTGTTGGAGCTCGCCTTTACCAAAAGGTTGTAGCATCGCTGAGACAACAGGCTAAGCGCACTTTCTTTTGAACAGATTCGTCCATCGTGTTAGGATGGTTAAAGGTGTTACCTAGCAAGCTACAACCCTTTGTCAGAAATAGGGTTGCTGAAATATTAGAGAAGACTGGAAATTGCGAGTGGAGGCATGTCCCAACAGAGTGTAATCCGGCCGATCATATTTCTCGCGGTGTGAGTTGTAAGGATATTTCATCCATGAGTAAGTGGTGGTCAGGACCTGAATTTTTAAAGAAAGAGGTCTCTCACTGGCCTGCAAATTTCTTAAGTATTAATCACGAGTTGCCTGAGATTAAATCGTCAAATGTTATCCTCCACGGAATACTTCATTCTAGCAACAATGAAGATTTAGGTGGGAATAAATTAATTGAATTTAAACGCTTTTCTAAATATACTAGATTAAATCGGACCGTTGCTTATGTGCTGCGTTTTATTAATAATTGTAGAAAGCAATCCGTTCACGGTCCTCTAAGCAATCAAGAGTTGCAAACCGCACTCAATGTTATTATAAGAATATCTCAGAGTGAATCATTTGAGGAATACACCATGTTAATTAAAAATAAAAGTTTACCCACTAAAAGTCCGTTGCATAAATTTAATGTATTTCTCGATGATAATAAAATAATGCGTGTTGGAGGGCGTCTTGAAAATTCCGATTACTGTTATGAGAAAAAACATCCCATACTTATACAGTCCACTCATTATTTTACCAAATTGCTCTTCAATTATGAGCACATAAGGTTAATGCACGCGGGACCACAGCTAATGTTGGCCACTATAAGAGAGATGTACTGGCCGATTAGAGGTCGTAATTTGGCCAGATCTTGTTATCGACAATGTGTAAGATGTAATAGAATGAAAGGAAAAACCATCTCTCCAATAATGGGCAACCTACCACACCAACGCATCCTTTCTGGTTTTCCATTTCAAAATATTGGACTAGACTATGCGGGACCAATTCAATCTGTTTCTCGCCATGGCCGTGGTTGTAAAATTGTAAAGGTGTATATAGCTATTTTTATTTGCTTCGCGACTAAGTCAATTCATCTTGAATTAGTGGGTGATTTAACTAGCAATACCTTCATATTAGCTTTGCGCAGATTTATGTCTAGAAGAGGGAAACCTCTTAATATTTATTCGGATAATGGTACCTCCTTTGTAGGCGCATACAATGACATTTCAAAATTTATTAGGACGTATTGTAATTCTTTATCTGAGGTAATGGCAAATGAAGGAATTAATTTCCATTTCATACCGCCTTATTCTCCCCATTTTGCTGGGCTTGCGGAGGCTGGTGTCAAATGCATTAAATATCATTTAGTTAGAGTGCTGGGCAATTGTAATGTGACTTACGAGGAACTAAATACCACATTAATACAAATTGAGGCTATACTTAACTCCAGACCAGTCACACCTTTGTCAACGAATCCTGAAGACTTGCTACCACTAACGCCCGGTCATTTTTTGATTGGACGCCCCTTGACTTCCTTGCCGACACCAGACTATAAAGATCATTCCGTAAGCTCTTTAACCCGATTTCAACGAATAGAACAATTACGTCAACATTTTTGGGCTAGATGGAGCAAGGCATATATATCAGAGCTTCAACTGCGGATGAAATGGCGTTCCTGTAAAGGCTCTTTGAAGTTAAATTCACTGGTACTCCTAAAAGAGGAGAATTCACCGCCATCAAAGTGGAAGATGGGTCGCATCGTCGCAGTCCATCCAGGCTCGGACGGCGTATCAAGGGTGGCGGATATCAAAACATCGACTGGTATAGTTCGCCGATCATTTAGCAAAATTTGTCCGCTTCCTGAACCTGAAGAATCTGGTTGAAAGGTAGACTTTCAACGCCGGGGGGCATGTTGAAGCGCCTGTCAAATTATATTAGCAGTTCTCATGCCAATATTAGTCCGTAAGTTGTGTAGGTATGTTTAAAAAATGTTGTACCGGTCGTCGTTGTAAAATTTAGAGATCAAGTAAAGGTCGATTGAGCAAATTACTGCATTTTACTATTAAAAAGAGATCTATTCCTATTCAGCCATGTAGAAAGAATGAATGAGGAAAGGGTGACAAAGCAAATTTATGTTGCAGAGGTGAACGGCATAGTCGGGAAGGGTCGCCCTAGGCGAAAGTTTATCGACCGAATTGGCGATATATTAAAAATGGGCCAAATCAAGAGTACCTTTAACCGACGAGCGTGTATGCGTAGGTATATGGATGTGGAGGAAGCGAGAGAGGTGTGTCAGGATCGTGCCAAATGGAAGTCCATAATCTCTGCCTACCCCTCTGGGTGACAGGCGTGAGTGTTTATGTTTATGTTATGCTAATTTAAGGCCGAACAGTCGCACAGAGTATAGATTGGTGGCCAATAACTTTAAAATATTTTCAACGAAATAATTACCAACAAGTGACTGATTGAGTTGTGAATTGTGTACAATTTTTTCAAGTTGTTTTTTCAATAGTATACACGCCCCTAGCTGTCCCGACAAAGGTAAATATCCCGGGGCCCATCAGCGGTAGTTTCGACGGACAACTAAGGGTGGGGCCCAACGGCTTATGAAGACTTATTATTCTACACAATAGATCTAAGGCTTGGTAATCAAATAGTATGTACCTGGTTCCGAAGCTAAGACTGCCCCAAGGCTCGGTCAGACGGTAGGTAGGTGTAGGTGCATGTGAGTGGTGTGTAGTAGTGTTTATATATGTGACCTGACGGCCCGATTTAATCGGACAGAAAATCCACCGGAGCTGATGTTCTCCCAATGCGCGCTCCCTCAAGTCGTGGATCCCCCATGGAAAATTTCCGCCTTCATTTCACTATTTCAGTCTATCAACTTTATTATACATATAATTAACTTCAAAGTCAATCAATTCAACGTTCATCGAAATCAAACACGTGACACCCGACACAAATAACGAACAGTCGTTCAAAGTTCAATATTCATTTTCACTTAGCAACAAAATTATAACCACACGTACGAACGCGGTCTCTTCTCGAGTCACAAAGTTCAGCGTTCCCAAACAACAACTAAATTCCTTCGTATGATATTAAATACTACGCCGCAATAAGAATTCAAAATCAGCCTAGCTGACACGCAAACTAACTACAGAGTCAACACGCAAAAGGCTCTTAACGCGACGGTACAATTAAACAATGACTTCCCAAAACAATTAACTGGGCTACGCCCTCGAAATGGAATGCATTCCATTTCGAGGGCGTGGCCCGGTAAAAGCATCAAATTCCAGACCGTATGTCCACTCGGCGTGCGCGCAAGGTTCCACGTCACACAAGTAAGTTAAATATTGGAAAATGCACTTCAACATGCAATCACTATACAAATTGACGTAATTACTTACAAACGAAATTACTTTAATTACTCAAATTCAATACTAGCCTCTTGTCACGAAACGTACAACTTAGACAAACTAATTCGAGGCGGTCTACACGAAACCCAAATTCAATACTAAATTAAACGCGCACAAAGACTCAAATTCTAGACCACAAAACCAAAAAACTGGTCGCGCGAAATCGATGCAGCGGTCACCAAAATACGCTAATCGACCGAACCGCTGCTATCAAGCTACTGTTCCTTCGCACTCGCGTCCTGCGCCCGCGACCTCTGCCGAGCGACCCACACGGGAGTGGGACGACGGGGACCTTTACAAAGTCAGCGGGAGGACACGAGGGTTGAATGCAAATTTCAAATGTAAATTGTTTGGCCTAAACAAATAGTTTGTGTAGTGTATGTCACAAGGCAGTAAAATATTTATTTTATATTTTGTATATTGGACACATGTTTACTGCTGAACATAGGGGTCCCATAAGGAATGCCTTAGAGCACAGTTCTGAGTCAACCTACATTCATCAACTTCCTGCTTATTTATCAGCGGTACGAGGCTGCCACTCGAGAACCTTTTTTCCTCATCGGTGGTCGGCTCTTCGTGCTATATGGTCGGCCCATTGCTACTTCAGCTTACTCATCCGTTGGGTTATATCGGTCAGTCTGGTTCTACGGCGGATATCCTCATTTCTAAGTTTCTCACGCAGATAAACCCTGAACATAGTCCCCTCTGTATAGTTCGGTAAGCGATTGAGCTTGCTTAATGTACACACTTGAAGCTTAATGAATAGCACGCACGTGCGATGGAGGAGTAGCAGTTGAAACAAGTGAGTGGCGACGTACCGATGCCGTAGAGCGAGCGCGGCGTGTTGGCGTCGATCTCCGGGATCCAGTAGAGGTGGTCGGGAGGCGCCGCGTCGCGCGCGGAGTGGTCGGTGCGGCGCACGTGGAACAGCAGCACGCGCTGCGGACGCGCCGCGCTGTAGGCGGGGTGCCCCCCCACCGCCCCCGCCCCCACCGCCACCGCCAGCGCCGCGCTCGCCGCCCACGTGCCCGCCATCGCCCACAGCTGCGACATCAAACCGCTCACTAGCCTCTTTTGTTCATTGTGCATTCTGTCACCCGCTGTGTCAACCATCTTCTCAAAACAAAACTACCTAACTAGTATACATTGAGGTAGAAATAATAAGGTAAGGACGAAATAAAAATGCGAAATTTCATAGTTACGTAAACATTTTTATCTGTGTTATCAAATAATGACCACGTTTTAAATCACTCGCTTTCATGTATGTATATTCGGGTCGAATTTAATAATCGATTTTAAAGTAACTTTCCAAGAAGCTAGTTTTAAAATTATGAAGAAAGGATCATGTTTCTTACATGTGTATAAAGAAAACATGGTAGATTAAATTCTATATAATTTATTAATAGTATTACTCGTTATATGGTAAACAAACACAAATTTTAATGCCAGATACAAGTATTAAAGATTATTTAAATCAATGTTACTCAATTAACACGAAGGCTAAATATGCCGAAACCTTGAACACTGCTCTGCAGCCCCTCGATCTAAAATTAGGTGAGATCGATGTTGTCTGGGAGTCTCTATCTTCTTGTGTTCTCGACACTGCTAAATCTACTTTGGGTTTGAGAGTTCGAAAACATGAGGACTGGTTTGATGAGAATGATGGGATACTTACAGGCGCTATTGATAAACACCGTAGGCTCCTATAGCAGCACAGTAGAACTCATCAGAGTGGAGGTGCTATGGAGTTGCGTCAAAGTGATCTGGAGCTGCGTAAACTCGCACGACAAGCGAAAGACAAGTGGTGGCAGGAGAAGGCTCGTCAGATGCAGTGGCTCGCTGATACCAACCAGCTCGGTGAGTTTTATGCTGAGGTGCGACATCTACTCGGTACGTCCTCTATGGCAAAAGTTCCACTGAAGTCAACTAGTGGTGGAGCGCTTTTTAAAAGCAGGGAGGAAATACTCGGGCGATGGGCGGAGCATTTTAACACCCTACTTAACGTGGATCATTTTGTTGACCTAGACCACGTTCGCTGCCTACCTCAACAACCTTTCGCCCTCGAGCTAGATGAGCCAATCTCGCCTGGCGAGGTTGCTCTTGCCATTAAGCAACAGCAAAATAAACGCGCGGTTGGTGTTGATTTTATACCGGGTGAATTATTGAAGTATGGCGGTGGGGATTTGTATTCAGCGTTATGGGAACTTTTTGTCATTATGTGGGAAAAAGAACAAGTCCCTAATACTTTTAAGGTATCCCTCATACGAGCCCTATATAAAGGCAAGGGTGACCGGTCAAACTGCAATTCTTACCGTGGCATTTCTCTACTTTCAGTGCCTGGAAAAGTCTTCGCCAGACTTCTTTTAAACCGCCTCAGGAAACTTTCTGAAAGGATTTTGCCGGAATCCCAGTTCGGCTTCCGACCTGACCGTGGTACCTGTGAGGCGATTTTCTCATTACGTCAACTACAGGAAAAAAGCAGAGAACAGGGTCGTAATATGTATCTCTGTTTTGTAGACCTTGAGAAGGCATTCGATAGTGTACCACGTGAAGCCCTCTGGATAGTGCTGCGGAAAATTGGATGCACGGAGAAGTTTGTGAGACTTCTGAGACTCCTGCATGATGGCATGCAGAGCTGCGTCGCTGTAAACGCTGATCAGTCAGAATTTTTTCCCGTTACCTGTGGAGTAAAACAAGGGTGTGTCCTTGCACCCACACTTTTCGCGTTATACTTTGCAGTTGTAGTCCAGGAAGTCTTAAAAACTACCCATGATGGAATTCGCATTCGTTTCCGCAACGATGGCAATCTTTTCAGCTTAGCTAGACTTAAGGCCCGTACGAAAGTGTCTTACGCACTTATTACAGAGATCGTCTACGCAGACGATTTATGTTTTGTGGCCGATTCCCCAGCTGGCCTGCAACAGCTTGTGACCACCTTTCATGAGTCGTGCCGTATTTTTGGTCTGAAGATAAGTGTTAAAAAGACGGAAGTGATGTCTTTAGATATCTACGGTCAAGAGACACTGGCCGTCAAACTCGGTGATGATATACTTAAGCAGATCAATACATTTCGTTATCTGGGGAGCACGATAACATCAAAGTGTGACCTTGATACTGAAATCAACAGTCGAATCGGTGCCGCGGCTGCGGTATTCGGTAAACTGGATCGCAAGGTCTTTGGCTCACATGACCTAAAGCTGGCTACCAAAATTGGTATTTATAAGGCGGTAGTGCTGCCTAACATACTGTACTCTTCAGAGTCATGGACAGTTTACCGCCGTCATATACGGACGCTGGATCGCTTCCACTTGCAATGTCTGCGCAAAATTCTCAACATCCGTTGGTCTGATCGCATTCGGAATACGGAAGTGCTGCGTAGAGCCTATACCATGGGGATTGAAGCCTACCTTATGGGGCGACAACTCCGTTGGTGTGGACACTTATCGCGAATGTCAGATCAGCGTACGGCTAAGTGCATCTTTTTCTCTGAACTTGAGAAGGGCAAGCGTAAGCATGGCGGACAACTTCTCAGGTACAAAGATGTACTTAAGCGCCACATGACGAAGTGCGACATTGAGCCTTCAGAGTGGGAGCAAGCAGCCGCTCGACGACCGGAGTGGAGATCTTTGGTGAAAGCCAAGGTCAAAATGTTTGAGGAGAATCGATGCTCTGAATTGGACGCCCGACGTGATGAACTCAAAGCACGCCCACCTTGTGCGATTAACTATAATTTCTGTAATGGTGTGCTCACCTGCCCGCATTGCACGCGAACATTTGTAAATAAGATCGGCTACGTTAGCCATGCACGAGCACACCAACGACAAGATCGGAGCTGAAGAGGTCGCCGTGGCCGAAATCGGTCGAGGAGATTATTACTCAATTAGCATATTAAAAAATGTATTAAACAAAAACTATATACTTTACACCCTATCAAATGTTCACTACTGAACATAAGCCTCACCACATATTGTCTCTTGAATATTTTCCGTAAGTGCCTCGCTTGGCAAACAGGTTGACAACCATAACTTTTTATTATTTTAAGTTGTCATGAGAAAGATACTCCTGTTCATCTCCTGTTTCAGTTTCCCTCAATCGCCTGATACGACACCGACAGGGGGTAATGGATACAAAGTAATGAAAATTTAAGCAAAAATTGCATAAAAATGGTTATTATCATATTACGTAAAAACTTTTACGGGAAAAATGTGATCCCTATAATTCATATAAATAATTGCACAAAATTGTTGTAAAATTATATGTCTATACTCAACCAAATCTAAGAAATACCTTTTGACGTTTCACATTATTAATCATTTATTTTTCATTTTCACACGATTTAAAATAACATTTTACATAAATCCCATTAATTATGAAGTAATCTATATTTCATTACAACATGTATAGTTTTTTATTACTAATTTAAGTAAGAATCTTTCAAAAAAAGCAAAATATAAAAATTTTACTATAGTCAACTTTTTTGCCTAACGTTGTTTCAATTATATGTCGCTATGTACCTAACCGTAGTGTTTGGGTGATTAAAATTCATTTTTATGCGAATAATGGGAAACAAATATTCAAATAATCGGTAAAATATAAAAATAATCGAATCTTTAAACTTAATATTTATTTTAAAATTTATTTTTAAAATTACTTAAATTATATGAATCATGAATAAAACTAGTTTATTTTTTTTTGTAATTTCCTACTTTGTCTGCATAAAGGAGACAATTTCTTTTTGTACGGAGAATGGGCCTACCACAAATAGAAGCCTAGAAGCCTTCGCAAAAGAGAGCCGTTCGGGCGATTTATAACCTAAATTGTAAAGAGTTCCTCAGACAAAAATTTAAAGAAATAAACATATTAACTTTGGCATCGAAATATATTTATGTAAATTTAATGTATGTACATAAAAACATAAATAGCTATAATAAGAAAAAGGATGTGCATACTTTAAACACTAGGAACAAACATAAGCTTGTTGTTGTTGTAATAATGCTTGTTACTAGACTCCACAGAATCAGTAATTCATTTATGGGGCAATGTATATGTAGAAAAAGTAAATAAGAATAATAATTAATTCGTTTGCACGAATATAATCTAACGAGTCAAGGATAAACTAGTAACGGAATACAACAAGCGCACCGTTCCACGTCAGAGCCAAGACCGGCGACCGCTCCGTCCGTTTTATACAAGCAAAACGGGCGCCACCGCAGGTGCAATAGCGCAGGTGTGCGGTGCACGTGTCGTTTACAAGAATTCTATCTAGCTACACCGACGTCGCCGCACGTGCAATGGTACAGGTGCCGTCATATACGCTTTTACAACAAAATCCCAGAATATATTCAAAGTTTGTCCATAAACAAGTTTAAAAGTTTTATTAAAGAAAAACTGTACAAAAATGGTTATTATAATATCAAGGAATACATGAAAGAAAATAACCCTTGGGAAAAAGGTGATCGCCACCATGCTGGTTCTATGAAATCATTTAAAAATTGTATAAACTTAATTATTGTTAAGTGAAATATGTTTGAAAAAAAAGTCCCGCTGGGTTTCTTGCTGGTTCTTCCCAGGACAGAGGTATTTTCCGAACCAGTGGTAAATAAAAAATGACTTTCAATAGGTATTATGTAATAATCAATATTGCATAAAAAAATATGCTATTCTATTCTATTCTAATAGTGGCGTAACTTGATGAAATTCATGTCGATTTATGCCTTATAATCTATACTATATATAGCTATATATAAGCAATACTAATATAAGTTTTACCGCATCTAACGTGAATATTGATAAATTAAAAATTAAAATATGTAAATAACAATGACCTAAAACAAACTAAAAGCGATTGTGAAGTAGTTTTCAACATTTATAGGTAATTTAAAATTGATGGAAAATCCTTTTAATGATTCCGGCAAAATATAGTGCACAGACATACAAACGTGGTGTGGAGACTATATTTTACATGTATTGATTGAGTAGTGAATATAGATCCCAAACACCATTACCGTAATTAAAGAAATGTAGTTAAAGCCATGATGAATAAGGAATAATATGTCCATTTATAATATTACCTATAAACGCTATATTAGTAAGAAATATGTTTTAAACTTGTGTAAGGATAAAAGACACAAAGTGAAATGCCTTTGAATTTATTATTGTAATTTATTATTGTATTATGTTGTCAAGATTTTGTTTTAATATGTTTTGAATGATTAATAGTATAGTATTACGTAAATAACATTAAACCCAAAATTACTTTCTTTTTATTATGGTATTAATCGAAACAAAACTGTAAAAGATTACCAACTAAAGAATCGATATCGATTTTTCTGAATCGAATATTGTATGTACCGATTTTTTGATTAGCATGTCTAGTACAATAAGTCTGCAGCTGTCAAAAGGTATTTCTTAGATTTAGTTTAGTATAAAAATCCCCGGTTTCTTGCTAGTTCTTCCCACGACAGTTTTTTTCTAAAATTTAATTAAGTGACATTCTTTAAGCATTAAAGTTTAAAGGAGTAATTTATTTTGGTGTGATAAGAATCAATCAATGGCAATCTTGTTAATAATGAGATCGACAATTATCGTAATAACAAACAGTATTATCGCATAACTGACCAGTTTGTCGATGTTGTCTGCGGCGACCACGAATGGCAGCACCCAGCTCAAAGCCGTGATTGTCAGCGCTCCCACCATTACTGCCATTATTACCTGTAATTTGTTATAATAACATAAATTATATTATTTTTATAATAATTAATAATATATTATATATTGCGGAAATAATGTTTTTGTTTGCATTATAAATCATAAATTTTCACAGAACTACTACTGGATGCGCCAGAGGTCGCTTTCTGCTATTAAATAGTCTGCTTAAATAATCTCTTTCACCTTGGGAGTTGCATTTCATGATCTTGTGGGCAAAGCTTGTCGGACAGTCGCGTCCTAACCGTCGGCTCACACTCGCGTGTCATTTTTTTCATCGCGCACCGCATAGTTACGTGTTCGTCGCTTACCGATCGCTAACGGAACACTTGCCATCACGTGTCGCAAAACACTCGCCAGCAAGACTACTCAATTCCTCAATCAAGTCAATTATATAAGACGTGTTAGCGACATGTATAACAGGTACGTCAAACAAAATCACGCCGAGGAATACACTGCAGTTGAAATATTAATCAATATTAATTTGTAGTTAGAATTATTATTGTTGTATAAAACTGAGAAGACACATGTACTTGCAATGCCCTTGATGGTAAGTGGCTACTGTAATTTTACTGGCTCTATATTCTTCAGACCGGAACCACAATATAAAATGTCTACAGAAATAAAGTTCATTTATGTAGTGTGTGATACAGTAAGAACTATTCGTATTAATCAGCCAATCGTGCTGAAGACCAAGCCGCATCGCAGCTGTTGAAGTAAGGAGTTCGCCGCGCCGCCCCGCATCCGAAGATCGCAGGTGAGCTTATTTGGTCTTATGAACATGCAATTACCCGCTGGTCCTTCCAATTTATCTACTTAACTTGAATCAGCCTCTATCTGGGGGCCTGAGCTATGGTAGGAAATTGTTTAAAGCCCCCACCGCGTGGGCGCCTCGTGGGCCACACTTCCCGCTTAGACTAGCTTTTCCTGGTCAACCCCGCATACTCCTGGTATTTTTCTCGAGTTGCAGATTCTCACAAAATTTGTGGTTCGAATCTCGCAATTAAGCTAATCAAATAAATTAGCTAGTGGCCCACCTAGTGCCTAGGCTTGAGCAAAAAATATATTTCGATATAACGATATTTATTTTAGAGTATCGAATTCGTATCAATTTCGATATATTTTAAAATGTTGTATCGTTTTTTTCGTCGTCCAACCGTCAGTAAATAAAATTTTTGACCTTATCTTTACATCATGCAAATGTTGACGATATATCGATATTTATCACGCGATATATATCGATACTCTTTAAAAATATAGATTCGATATATATCGATATATTTTTTTCCCTTGCCCATCCCTACTAGTGACCCCACCAACTACCTAAACGTTTTCTTTAAGGCGTGGATATATTTGTTTATGAAGATCAGACTAAGTAAATTATTCTTAAACACAATCTCAGAATTAGAAAATATGGTATAAATTTTGTACTTGGGCGTCTACTTAGAAGTGACAAGTGTCTGACGCCAAGTGTAAATTGTATACGTAGGTCAAGTGTGTACATGAAGTGGGAGTGTTGTGTCGCATACGTTACGTATGTGGGATCGATATGTTTTTCTTCTTAAAACGATATTTGAGTTGTTATCTAGAGCTTGTGATGTTCCTTAGTCTACATAGATGACTCAGAAAATTTGTTTGCTTGAGTACGTTTAAAAAGTATGGTTGTTGCTCTATTAAAAGTGTTACAAATTAGTTAGATAAGATTCGCGTAATAAAATAATACGATGTGTCTTACTTATTTTGAGAGGTTCTTCAAATTAGAGAAGACGCATCTTTAATATAATGGATTTTCGTAGTAATGTAAGTAAGTAATGTCTGATTTTATTAACGACGGTTGTGAAATCAATGAAAGTGTGCGTGTGTATATGTGTGTGTGCGTGTTTAGGCGGTACTGACGTCGGGCGGCAGCGGCGTGGTGCCGGCGCGGCCCATGATGGGCACGAACATGTCGAGCGACGCCAGCGCCAGGTAGCACGTCTGCGCGGCCGGCAGCGCGGCGCCCAGCGCCCAGCAGGCGGCGCGCGCGCGCGGCGCCAGGCGCAGCAGCGACGCGGCCGCGTCCGCCGCGGCGGCCGGCAGCGTCCACAGCAGCGGCAGGAAGGCGGAGCGCAGGCCGGCCGCCGCGCAGCACAGCAGCGCGCCGCCCGCCAGCGCGCACGCCGCGTCGCCGCACGCCCGCGCGCGCCACCAGCCGCGCACCACCGCGCCCGCGCCGCCGCCCCCGCCCCCGCCCCGCCGCCACATGGCTCGCGCCGCCCACCACCACCCGCACACCGCTGCCGACAAACACATCTCTATATAACTTATCACAGCCATACTGCAATTATATTATACGTATAATAAAAAATTACCTATATTAAAAATGATAGAAATCGATTCAGTAAACGATTCTGAACAAACTATTTTCAGGATGATAGTTAATTATGTTATATGTTGTATTTATTATTACGTTTCGACGGGTATGGGTGTAAATTGTTTGCATAAACTTTAATTCATTATGAACCTTATGTGTAATGTATGTATAATAAGTACAGTTATGCAACTATAAAATATAAGTCGTGAGGCTGTCTAATCGGTTCAGAACGAGTCATTTTAAAGAGTAAAAGGTTGGTTTAGTAAGGTTCGCATGCAAAACCAGGTGGGGAACATAGGTAGTGTGCAAGTGTAATGTGTGTACAGTAGTTGTTACCTGGCAACGCGTAGAGCGGCAGCAGCAGCGGCGGGCGCGCGTAGAACAGCAGGCGCGCGCGCAGAGCGTGCAGCAGCGCGGCCGCCGCAGCCGCCGCGCCGACGCCGCACGCCGCGCTCGCCGCCGCCACAACCGCGCCGTGCCGCACCGCACGCCACCACGCACCACGACTCATGTACACTGCGCAACACAATTCGACGTTAATACGCAAAAACGATCCAACCTACAGTCGCAAACATTGGAATTAGAATATTATAACAAAGGATTTGAATAACTTTATCTGCATCAGTGTTCGTCCGAATACAATAATGGAAGTGAAGACTGTAGCAGCAGTTAGGATCGAGTAGTAACGCATTGAAACAGAAAGTGCGAGGTGAATGCTCACGGTGGTGCTGTGCATCAGCTGCAGAGAGCAGCAAACGTAGCAGCAACGCCAGCAACGCAACGGCGGTGGCCAGCAGCGCAGCGCCTGGCCGCAACGCCAGCACCACCAACCCCAACATGTCGCAGTACGCCGGTAGCGCGGACCGCTCCACCGCATGCTCCAGCGCCGGATGTCGCAGCATCCCTGCTCAACACTCCACAACTGGCTAACCACGACAAACGGCAGTCTACTTCGCAATGTTATTTATACGCAACATAATTTATTTAATATTAACTTATTCAAAGTATTTCAACAGTGGTACAGCCACGTGGCGGCTTTTGCTGTCGCACGGATGGGCCGGCTCGATGAACCGGGGTGGTACCACGACCTCACAGAATACCAGCGTGAAGTAGAGGTTTACCTCTGCGTTTCGCTTCGTGAGTGCAGGTGACCAGAGGCCCTTTTTACTGGAAATGAGGCATTCTATCTTAGTCTTTACGGGTGACAACGCATCTGCATTTTGATTTGTAATAGAGGATAGATGTAGATGTCTATGGGCCGCAGCAACCACTTACCATCAGGTGGACTGTGTGCTCGTTTGTCACCCTTATCCTATAAAAAAAAGCACTTATTAATTTATTCCGTTGCTAGTTTCTCAATGTGATTCCCTCCTGGTTACCACTTATAGTCGACTGTTCTTTCCGGGAATAAGATTGGATTCACAGGCTCCATAGATTGTCCCTTAAGTTACATGGGAATGGGAACAATTCGAAATGTATTAGACTGGAGCTTATTTTAAATGACTGTCAAGTGTCATTTATAGAAATGAAATTAAGACATCTTGCACTATTTCCTACAAAATCGTTACTATAGACTAAGAATGACAATTGACCAAAGATGAAACCTTGGGGAACACCTCATTGCACTATCAACCCTTAAGACATAACGTCATTAATGTCACCTTTCTATTCATTATTTGAATGATAGGATAAGGTTTAATGCACAAACTTGCAGATAATGTTGGTTTCAATTATATTTTTTCAAATTCAGTTATTTTTTATTACATTTATTTTAGTGTAAGTAATGCAACAAAACTAATTAAAATAATAAAATCAGTTAAATTTTCTTTAAATGGAAATCAAACAAACACGAATAATTTTGTAATTATTGCTTATTGCATTAAGTTTGTGTTACATATTTGACCGATAGTTTTCTACAATGATAAGTAATAGGGTTAATATACTTAGCAATTATCAGTCAGTAGCATGCGATTACAACATCGCATTAAAACGAGATAAGTCGTTGATACTTAAGAATAGTATATTTCATTACGAGTGCGGAAAGCCTGTCATTGCAAAGAGTTCCGACAAATGTCTACCCGAGCCGAGGCGCAGCCGAAGGTGAGGGTTGACAGTCAGAACAAGTTGCAATGACGGTTCCGCACGTGTACTGAACAACTATTTTTAATACAGTTGCGAAAAATGAAGCAATTTAATAACGAACATTTTTGTAAAATGGCGCCAACCGTAAAAGAATATAAGCAGAGATTTTTTTTGGTTTCTTCACCCATTCTGGCAAAGGGAACTATACCCATACAGCCAAGTCTTCAGTAGAATTTTTTTATTGATATGAAATGAAAATTAAATTGAATGAGATGAAATGAAATGAAACCTAACCTAACTCTTTGATTCAAATCATTAAATTTGATATTGAAACAAATTAGTAGCTTCTTTTTAGAAATATTTGCATGAATCATAAAAATTTCTATGTTTTTTTTTTGTTAGTAAAAACTTCGTGGTTGGTTTTTTCTTTTTAATAGACATTATTTTGACAGTTGGGAAAGAGAACGCACGAGTTCGGAAAAGGTAAAGAAAAAGAACGAGTATGTAATAGCCCACATCCCGAACGCTATACGTCCCTGCAATACGCCACTTTTTGAACAACTGTATTAAAAATAAATTTAAGGACAGATTGCTTTATGTGAGGACCCTTGTTACTATATACAGGCTGTCCCGAAACTCAACGTAAAGCGGGTACGGGGCGATAAGATAGGTTGTACCAGTTTTAGCAAAAATAAAAAATAAATTCCATGTTACTTGGTTCTCTCGAAGTTTTATGCGGAATTGTACATGTCACCTTTAGAGCCTTCGCAAGTGTGAGTAACTATCCAAAAGCAAGTCTTATCCGTCACTACTTCGATGATATCGCGGACGTCAACCTGAGCGAGATTAAAATGGCTCTCCAGCACCTTAAAAACGGCAAGGCACCGGGCGAGGATGAAATTACTTGTGAAGGGCTACAATGATGATAATGATGATGATGATGAACCATTCTTGTACAGTTTTTGTTTACGATAATATTTAACAATTGGTAATAAATATCTAGTATATTTTGTGGTACTTTGTTGTAATAGATAGAAGAAAGGATCTCGAGACACGGTGTACGGTGTGTGTTGTATGTGCGGTGTAGGCGCGCACTGACCTTGCACGAGCGCGAGCACGTTGTCGCCGGTGCGCTGCAGCGCGCCGGGCGGCACGCGCGCGGCCGTGTCCAGGCGCGTGTGGTACACGAACCCGTTGCTGCTCCACGCCAGGTCCACGCCTGCAACCCGCCTGCTCTGTGCACTGTGCTCTGTGCACTGTGCTCGTGCTCTGTGCACTCACACGACATCACCCACCCCACAGGTACGCGCAACCTACGCTCGCTCTAGGTGCTCGTGTGCGCACATACACAATGAAAATTTATATTTATTTGATTTTTTAATTCATTATTATAATTAATACATGTTGAATGTCAGGTTTTTCGAAAAACAAATGTCCAGGGAAGAAAGAGTAAGATACCCATCGAACATTTTTTACCCGACTGCCCCAGCAAGAGGGTAATGTTTTTCGAGAGTATGTATGCATGTATACTTCTTTGGCTCTGTAGCCTAAACAGCTTGATAGATTTTAAGTAATGAATTTTAAACGGAATAAAAATAAAGATAAAGGAAGAACCGTTTATAAAAATATATAATGACAGGAACTACTCAACTTTAAACAATGACTTAATAAGAATAAAAAAAATTGAGAAAGGAAATAAGAGTAAGAACATTTGACATGTTGGTGCTCACCGGAGAGTCCGCCGAAGTCACGGAAGATGCGGAAGTCTGTGTCGGCGGGGATGAGGCCACTCTGGAACAGCTCCTGCGCCAGCGACGACGCGAACGGGTGCGGCGCCGCGCCCGCGTACACCTGCACACGCAGCGCGTCTCATTCACTGAGCACGAGCAAAGTACATACACACACGCAAACGCACGTAGACGCACGCACACGCCCGTACACACCCAAACGCACTCGCACGTACAGGCACGGGACCACTCACACTCTCCGACTTTTCTGTGTCCGATGTAACGCGTACGCGATAAGGTTGGAGGTAAACTAGGTTGCAGTATCGGAGACGGCGACAAACTAAAAGGTTGGTCGAAAATGGGTAGCGACAGTGTCTCACCTCTAGAATCCAGGGATCGTGTGGGCCGGCCTGGAACAGGACTTCGCGGCCGCCCGAGCCACATGCCTCCAAGTTTATGAATGCGCGCACATCTTTTGCCCATCTGCAACGCGGACCACACGCAAACACTATTTTATTGCAATATATCTTTACTAGCGACCCGCCACGGCTCCGCTTAGCCTTGGTGATCTATCATAAGTTAGATTTTTAAAAATTATCATTTATATTATCAATTTTTCCATCTCACAAAATATCTCTGGATCTCTCGAATAAAATTTAGCTTTTAACATTCCTAGTTTTGCTCCTTTATGTGTTCTTGAAGTTTCATTACACAAACAGACAAATAAATTTTTTACAAATGATTATTTATGTTTTAATGGCATGCAATAACCCTTCAAAGGTTGATAAAAACCAGTTATTTCAATATTACAGAAGACACTTCAATCTTATTTATACAGGGTTATTTTGCAATATATGTCCAGATTGAATATTTTATTTGTCTTCGCCGCAAGTATTTGTTAAAAATAATGCATTATACACTATGCAAAACAGATTTCAAAGGTGGCGTTAAGTGTGGATCGTGTAAACAGCAACATTGTTTTGGCTGCTCAAATATAACCGAAGCTTGGTATAAAAAGCTGGGTGCCGACCGAATGGCTACGTGGAGGTGCTCCCATTGCCGGAACCTTCTACCCGCCCTTTCAACGCCAACGCTAATCTCGTCACCCCATTTGATATTGACTATTTATTCAGAGTATGGTGAGAAAATATGAAATTGACTAAGCAAAAATATTTTAATATAGTAACAGCCACAGTAATAGCTTACAGATATATTAATTTACCCATCAAAATGATCGATCGAAATACAGACTAAGAAGGTTAGTGAAGATTCGGGACAGTTGGCGTCCCGATCAAGGGTAAATCGGGACATGTCACCAAACCCCTGGAAATCGGAACATCCCACACAAATCGGGGCATTTGGCAAGACCAGTTTACGGTATCGGAGTGAATGAATGCGAACGCGAACGGAAGATATACGTCCCATCGCTGGGACCTTAGAACGAATGCATTACGCCACTTACCAGCTTTATCTACTAAATATGGAAGAAATACTTTCATATATCGGTCTAGTAATAATTTATGCATAAAGCACGATTTTGATTTGTTTAAGGCCTGAATTCCTCCTACGCTGACGTCGGTTGCATACGGTCGGTCGCGTACGCGTACGTAGCAAACTACGCGCTGCTGTCGTCACCGTCGTAGTGTGGGGTTATATAGAACACAATGTAATCGGCAAGGCGGGCATTAAGTCGAGAGTTTTTTATGTCGCAGTTTATTTAAAAAAAATTATTATGTAGTGCGTATAGTCCTGCTTTCCTTTTCCTTTTGGGTATTATTGTTTGTTTCACTTATTAAATTTATGCATGTTGTACATTTAAATTAGACTACATTTTTGATGCTCGTATTTGTGCTATGTCCTTTAAACGACGAAAGATTATGTTATTGTATTTAGTGAGAACCTGTTATTGCAGAGATTATCAAACTATATTTCTTTTACCGCCCCCTTTGAAAATCAATTATTTTTCAGCGCCCCCAATTTTTTTATACACTCCTAAAACTTAAAAATCACAATTTCATTACTTTAATTAATTTAGTTATGTTACTATATATTAGTCGGTTTTGGTGCTTAAACTTACATTCTAAACTAGACATTATTACCAGAGAGAGCAATTAAAACTCAACTTTATAATACTAAGAATATATTTTAATCAAATTAAAAGAAACAATATAGATAGGTAATCAATTTTAGTTTTAAAACTAATCTAATGAGATGGACGAATTTGATGATTTTTAACAAGTTTGTTGATATTAGGTGTGATTTTACTCGAAAACAGTCGTAAGTTCGGTAACATGTAAACTATTTCTTTTTTTAGTAAGCAGCTTTGTGAAAGCGCTAAATTCATGTTCACACAAATATGACGATGGGAATGCTATCAAAAATCGTTGAACGATCGACCACAATCCAGGGTGAGCGATTGACTTTTGAAGCCAAAACTCTTGGTAGCCGTTTTTGAATTCGATTTTTATTTCCTCGTTCGTTGTCAGTTCTACAAGTTCTTCTTCCAGTTGGGGTGATACTGCTATGTTGATATTTGAAAAAGGATCTAACACTCAGTCTGGTATTTCTAATTTCAAAACGCCCTGGAATCTTTCAATGAAATCACTGTGGAGATTTTCCAAATGTTGGCAGTAGACAAGTAAGTCGTCGTTGTTGCAGGATACTGATAAATTGGGAAAATTATGGTGTAAGAGCAGCTTAGCTACGAAAGCAGCGACGACATTTTTTGAAAAAGAATAATAATAATGACGACAACTAGCCGTATCGTCAATATTAAAATCACAATCACGACTCCGAGTAAGCAGTGTAATCGTCGATGATCTATGCATTGAGATCTAAGCATCGCTAGTTGTGCACAGTAGCCGTATATGTACATATATTTAAATCTCAATTTTTTTTAACCGAATTCGTTTTGAAAACCCTACTTTAACTTGGCTAGATCTTAACTTACAGTATGTGACGGACGAGGGTTTGGCGATCGATTAAAATTCAAATCAAAGGTGCTAAACCCTAACTTTGCAGCCTGATGCTAAAGAACAGGATATTTGAGGGACAAAGGCTTCAAAGGGCCTCGGCTCTGGGGTCACCAACTTGCCAGCCAGCGTAATGGGTGTGAGGTAATTACTAAAGCGATGATTGTATAACGGCGGACGCGGCACCTGTGCGTGGTGACGAAGGCGTGCGAGGCCTGCAGGATGTTCTCCTCGGCGCCGTTGAGCAGCGCGATGACGTCGTGGCGCAACGGACGCGGCGCCGCCAGCAGCGCGCGCAGCGTTTCCAGCAGCACGGCGCACCCCGCGCCGTCGTCACTCGCGCCTGTACATACACGCACACTGCACGCACACTACACACACACTAGCGCAGCGTCTCCACGCTTTAGCGGCACGGCGCACCCCGCGCCGTCATTACTCGCGCCTGTACATACACGCACACTGCACGCACACTACACACACACTAGCGCAGCGTCTCCACACTCCAGCGGCACGGCGCACCCCGCGCCGTCGTCACTCGCGCCTGTACATACACGCACACTGCACGCACACTACACACACACTAGCGCAGCGTCTCCACACTTTAGCGGCACGGCGCACCCCGCGCCGTCGTCACTCGCGCCTGTACATACACGCACACTGCACGCACACTACACGCACACTACACACACACTAGCGCAGCGTCTCCACACTTTAGCGGCACGGCGCACCCCGCGCCGTCGTCACTCGCGCCTGTACATACACGCACACTGCACGCACACTACACACACACTAGCGCAGCGTCTCCATGCTTTAGCGGCACGGCGCACCCCGCGCCGTCATTACTCGCGCCTGTACATACACGCACACTGCACGCACACTACACACACACTAGCGCAGCGTCTCCACACTCCAGCGGCACGGCGCACCCCGCGCCGTCGTCACTCGCGCCTGTACAAACACGCACACTGCACGCACACTACACACAAACTAGCGCAGCGTCTCCACACTTTAGCGGCACGGCGCACCCCGCGCCGTCGTCACTCGCGCCTGTACATACACGCACACTGCACGCACACTACACACACACTAGCGCAGCGTCTCCACACTTTAGCGGCACGGCGCACCCCGCGCCGTCGTCACTCGCGCCTGTACATACACGCACACTGCACGCACACTACACACACACTAGCGCAGCGCCTCCACACTCCAGCGGCACGGCGCACCCCGCGCCGTCGTCACTCGCGCCTGTACATACACGCACACTGCACGCACACTACACACACACTAGCGCAGCGTCTCCACACTCCAGCGGCACGACGCACCACGCGCCGTCGTCACTCGCGCCTGTACATACACGCACACTGCACGCACACTACACACACACTAGCGCAGCGTCACCACACTTTAGCGGCACGCGCACCCCGCGCCGTGGTCACTCGCGCCTGTACATACACGCACACTGCACGCACACTGCACGCACACTACACACACACTAGCGCAGCGTCTCCACACTTTAGCGGCACGGCGCAACCCCGCGCCGTCGTCACTCGCGCCTGTACATACACGTACACTGCACGCACACTACACACACACTGGCGCAGCGTCTCCACACTTTAGCGGCACGGCGCACCCCGCGCCGTCGTCACTCGCGCCTGTACATACACGCACACTGCACGCACACTACACACACACTAGCGCAGCGTCTCCACGCTTTAGCGGCACGGCGCACCCCGCGCCGTCATTACTCGCGCCTGTACATACACGCACACTGCACGCACACTACACACACACTAGCGCAGCGTCTCCACACTCCAGCGGCACGGCGCACCCCGCGCCGTCGTCACTCGCGCCTGTACATACACGCACACTGCACGCACACTACACACACACACTAGCGCAGCGTCTCCACACTTTAGCGGCACGGCGCACCCCGCGCCGTCGTCACTCGCGCCTGTACATACACGCACACTGCACGCACACTACACACACACTATCGCAGCGTCTCCACACTTTAGCGGCACGGCGCACCCCGCGCCGTCGTCACTCGCGCCTGTACATACACGCACACTGCACGCACACTACACACACACTAGCGCAGCGCCTCCACACTCCAGCGGCACGGCGCACCCCGCGCCGTCGTCACTCGCGCCTGTACATACACGCACACTGCACACACACTACACACACACTAGCGCAGCGTCTCCACACTCCAGCGGCACGACGCACCACGCGCCGTCGTCACTCGCGCCTGTACATACACGCACACTGCACGCACACTACACACACACTAGCGCAGCGTCTCCACACTTTAGCGGCACGGCGCACCCCGCGCCGTGGTCACTCGCGCCTGTACATACACGCACACTGCACGCACACTGCACGCACACTACACACACACTAGCGCAGCGTCTCCACACTTTAGCGGCACGGCGCAACCCCGCGCCGTCGTCACTCGCGCCTGTACATACACGTACACTGCACGCACACTACACACACACTGGCGCAGCGTCTCCACACTTTAGCGGCACGGCGCACCCCGCGCCGTCGTCACTCGCGCCTGTACATACACGCACACTGCACGCACACTACACACACACTAGCGCAGCGTCTCCACACTCCAGCGGCACGGCGCACCCCGCGCCGTTGTCACTCGCGCCTTTACATACACGCACACTGCACGCACACTACACACACACTAGCGCAGCGTCTCCACACTCCAGCGGCACGGCGCACCCCGCGCCGTCGTCACTCGCGCCTGTACATACACGCACACTGCACGCACACTACACACACACTAGCGCAGCGTCTCCACACTCCAGCGGCACGGCGCACCCCGCGCCGTCGTCACTCGCGCCTGTACATACACGCACACGGCACGCACACTACACACACACTAGCGCAGCGTCTCCACACTTTAGCGGCACGGCGCACCCCGCGCCGTCGTGACTCGCGCCTGTACATACACGCACACTGCACGCACACTACACACACACTAGCGCAGCGTCTCCACACTTTAGCGGCACGGCGCACCCCGCGCCGTCGTCACTCGCGCCTGTACATACACGCATACTGCACGCACACTACACACACACTAGCGCAGCGTCTCCACACTTTAGCGGCACGGCGCACCCCGCGCCTTCGTCACTCGCGCCTGTACATACACGCACACTGCACGCACACTACACACACACTAGCGCAGCGTCTCCACACTTTAGCGGCACGGCACACCCCGCGCCGTCGTCACTCGCGTCTGTACATACACGCACACTGCACGCACACTACACACACACTAGCGCAGCGTCTCCACACTTTAGCGGCACGGCGCACCCCGCGCCGTCGTCACTCGCGCCTGTACATACACGCACACTGCACGCACACTACACACACACTAGCGCAGCGTCTCCACACTCCAGCGGCACGGCGCAACCCGCGCCGTCGTCACTCGCGCCTGTACATACACGCACACTGCACGCACACTACACACACACTAGCGCAGCGTCTCCACACTCCAGCGGCACGGCGCACCCCGCGCCGTCGTCACTCGCGCCTGTACAAACACGCACACTGCACGCACACTACACACACACTAGCGCAGCGCCTCCACACTCCAGCGGCACGGCGCACCCCGCGCCGTCGTCACTCGCGCCTGTACATACACGCACACCGCACGCACACTACACACACACTAGCGCAGCGTCTCCACACTCCAGCGGCACGACGCACCACGCGTCGTCGTCACTCGCGCCTGTACATACACGCACACTGCACGCACACTACACACACACTAGCGCAGCGTCTCCACACTTTAGCGGCACGGCGCAACCCCGCGCCGTCGTCACTCGCGCCTGTACATACACGTACACTGCACGCACACTACACACACACTGGCGCAGCGTCTCCACACTTTAGCGGCACGGCGCACCCCGCGCCGTCGTCACTCGCGCCTGTACATACACGCACACTGCACGCACACTACACACACACTAGCGCAGCGTCTCCACGCTTTAGCGGCACGGCGCACCCCGCGCCGTCATAACTCGCGCCTGTACATACACGCACACTGCACGCACACTACACACACACTAGCGCAGCGTCTCCACACTCCAGCGGCACGGCGCACCCCGCGCCGTCGTCACTCGCGCCTGTACATACACGCACACTGCACGCACACTACACACACACTAGCGCAGCGTCTCCACACTTTAGCGGCACGGCGCACCCCGCGCCGTCGTCACTCGCGCCTGTACATACACGCACACTGCACGCACACTACACACACACTAGCGCAGCGTCTCCACACTTAAGCGGTCCGGCGCATCCCGCGCCGTCGTCACTCGCGCCTGTACATACACGCACACTGCACGCACACTACACACACACTAGCGCAGCGCCTCCACACTCCAGCGGCACGGCGCACCCCGCGCCGTCGTCACTCGCGCCTGTACATACACGCACACTGCACGCACACTATACACACACTAGCGCAGCGTCTCCACACTCCAGCGGCACGACGCACCACGCGCCGTCGTCACTCGCGCCTGTACATACACGCACACTGCACGCACACTACACACACACTAGCGCAGCGTCTCCACACTTTAGCGGCACGGCGCACCCCGCGCCGTGGTCACTCGCGCCTGTACATACACGCACACTGCACGCACACTGCACGCACACTACACACACACTAGCGCAGCGTCTCCACACTTTAGCGGCACGGCGCAACCCCGCGCCGTCGTCACTCACGCCTGTACATACACGTACACTGCACGCACACTACACACACACTGGCGCAGCGTCTCCACACTTTAGCGGCACGGCGCACCCCGCGCCGTCGTCACTCGCGCTTGTACATACACGCACACTGCACGCACACTGCACGCACACTACACACACACTAGCGCAGCGTCTCCACACTTTAGCGGCACGGCGCACCCCGCGCCGTCGTTACTCGCGCCTGTACATACACGGACACTGCACGCACACTGTACGTACACTACACACACACACTAGCGCAGCGTCTCCACACTCCAGCGGCACGGCGCACCCCGCGCCGTCGTAACTCGCGCCTGTACATACACGCACACTGCACGCACACTACACACACACTAGCGCAGCGTCTCCACGCTTTAGCGGCACGGCGCACCCCGCGCCGTCGTTACTCGCGCCTGTACATACACGCACACTGCACGCACACTACACACACTCTAGCACAGCGTCTCCACACTCCAGCGGCACGGCGCACCACGCGCCGTCGTCACTTGCGCCTGTACATACACGCACACTGCACGCACACTACACACACACTAGCGCAGCGTCTCCACACTTTAGCGGCACGGCGCA